TGGCGGCGCCTCCAGCGCCGCCCCTCGCGCGCTCCACGTGCCAGGGCTGGGGGTCCAGCGCAGCTTCAAGAACTCAGCGCGGACCGTAGAATGCTCATGTTCATGCGTTTTTTCCTCTAGTGCTTGCCAGGTTGCGACAGTTCCCCCTTCCAGACCTATGGTGATCACGTGGCGCGTGGTGCTGTGTGCTCGCGTCGCCCTACTTAAACTCAGAGAAACCGTTGCTCCACGCGTGAGTTTTCCGTCTGCGCGTACAAGGGTGAGGCCTTCGCAGGCAGTACATTCAGGCACGGCGAGCATAAGTTGTTCCATCCGAGACCAGCGCATCCTGGCCGCCTCCCGCGCAAAGCGAAGAGCATTGTGCACAACGTCCTAGCCTGGATCGGCGTTTTACGCTTGTTGCCGCGCCGCGCCGCCGAAATTGCGTGCGTCTCGTAGCCAGCTCAATCAGCTCAGTTGCAATTGGTATGCCAGAGCGTCCATACTATCATTCGCGATGCAGGTTACGAGCGCCGCGGTCATTCCAGGTCGTTTGGGACTCAGGGGTTTCACTGCGGACCTCCGTCTCGCCCGCCGTCATCATTGCACGGCTGAGCCGAAGGCGGTTTAGGGTTGTTAGGTCCGGCGTTGGCGAGACCACAGTCCTGATGGGAGTGCGGTTCCGTGCAGGACCTGCGGCCCACGTGCGACACAATCGTCATCGTAGTTCAGTAATTTCGTCCGTCCAGCCAGAGGGCGCGCCTGAGCCGCGGCGGGCATCAATGACGCAGAAGGCCTCGACTCATCTCATGAGCAAGCCCTGCGAACATGCGATCCCGAAATCAGTGCTTCTGGCCAGGAAGGACGTGACGAAAACATGTGGCAGTGAGTCGGGTTGCATTGTCGCGCCGGCCAGAGGCGGGAGGCGTCGCTGATTTGAGCTTCTGCGGGTTCTGTCGTTTGCGTCCTTTGAGAATCATCCGCGCCCCTGCCCATGGGCTGCGACTAATGGTCTTCCTTCCTGAACGGTCGTGCAAGTAGCGTTTCATAGGCGCTCCGTTGTTTTCGCCATCGCGCTTGTCGTCGGCTCGGCGCATGCTACCGAATGCGTGACGTAATTGGCGCAAGAACACTGCCATGTCTACGCGCTCCGTCGGAATGCCATTTCCACGCTGGCGCGCTTGCCGAGCTAAGCAGGTGGATGCGGCAGTGGCGTCCAGCGCCGACGACAACGGCAGCGACGAGACCCCCCAGGCGCCCACAGACCTATCCTACAGGGTGCGTTCCTCAGCGGTGACAGAAAAGGGGGCCGATAGGCTCTGCGGGTGACGCATCGACCCCCAATCGCCCATTCATCGCCGACAGTGGCCAGATGGCTCACCCCGCCCGGGAACGTTGGGTTTCGCTTTCGCTGTCGGTTTGCCAATCGCCGACCTCTCAGCAGTGTGTCGCCGATTCCAGGTCGACGCTCCCCTCTCCCCTGAGCTGGCCTTCCTCAACGTTCCCTCTCCGTTCTTATCAGACCATGTCTCCGGCGCCGACGGCGGCCACGACGTCCGAAACGACGACGATGGCGGCAGCATGAGCGACGTCAGCGGCGACGGCAACGACGGCGGCGGCGGCGGCTGTGGCGAGGAAGACGGCGGCGACGCTGGAAGTGGCAGAGACGGCGACGCCGGCGACGGCGCTGCCGCTGGCGCCGAGGCATGGCCTTCGCCGCAGCGGCCGTGCCAGCACCAGCACGCCGCGGCCCCAGGGCGCTGCACGGCGCCGCGTTAGGCGGCAGGATGCCTGACGCCGCCGCCACCGTCTTCGTCGTCGCCGTCGTCGTCGCCGTCTTCGTCGCTACCGCCGTCGCCGCTGCTGCCGTCGCCGTCTTCGCTGTCGCCGCCGTCGTCGTCGCCGTCGTCGTCGCCGCTACCGCCGTCGTCGCCGTCGTCGGCGCCGTCGTCGCCGCTAGTGCCGCCGTCGTCGCCGCCGCTGCCGCCGCCGCCGCCGCCGTCGCCGCTGTCGTCGCCGCCGTCGTCGCCGCCGCTGTCGCCGCCGTCGTCGCCGTGTCCGCTGTCGCCGCTATCGCCGTCGCCGCTGTCTTTGCGGAAGTTGCCCCGTCCTCTCCGCGTATGCTTTTCCTAAGCGACCTATTCCGCTACGCTACTTCGCCGACCCCCAGAAGAGGGAAGAAGTCCATGGATGCCTTGTTCACGGCTGTTGGGGGTTTCGTGCTGTGGGAGGTTTGGCATCGTCAGCTGCATGAAACAGCCAACAGGTGCGCCTTGAAAGGAACGAGTAGAAGGAGTTTGAGCACGAACACCGTCGCACCCCGAGTGGGGGCGCGGGCGTCGAGGGAAGTGAGAAGGAGAAGGTCCGCTCAGAAGGCGGCGATGCTAGTTTTCTATGTCTTCGGGGAAGGCTCAGGAAACTTCTCGGAGGGCTGGGGGACTTCTGAGAATGCCCGCCCCTTCTCACTTCCTCCCCTCGCTCGCCGCCGATTTTGTGGTTTCTTGGGGAACCTCAGGGCTGGGGGCCTCGCTTGGGCTTCTTTGGGGGCCTCCTCGGGCCTGTTGGGTGTTTCTTGGACGCCCGCATGCGGTGTCGAAGGGCCTCCTGGAGCGGAGGGCTCGGAATGTCCGCTCGAGGTGCCTCTGTCGGGCCCCTCTTGGGGACCTCCTTCTCCTCCTCCTCCTCACCCTTCCCCTCCTCCCCCTCCTCCTCCTCCTCCTCCTCCTCCTCCTCCTCCCCCTCCTCCCCTCTCCCCCTCCTCCTCCTCCTCCTCCTCCTCCTCCTCCTCCTCCTCCTCCTCCTCCTACCTCCTCCTCCTCCTCCTCCTCCTCTCCTCCTCCTCCTCCTCCTCCTCCTCCTCCTCCTCCTCCTCCTCCTCCTCCTCCTCCTCCTTCTGTTGGGGCCTCCCTGGGTGCAATCTTGGGCGCTGCTTGGGCCGTCCTTGGGCCGCCGTGATCACCCCTGCAGCCGATCCTTTGGCCGTCCTTGACCGTCCTTTGTGGGGGCGCCGTGATCACCCCTGCAGCGATCTTGGAGGCCGCCGGGGCCGTTTTGGATGCTGTTAAGACAAGATTAGGTCGGGCATGTCCCTCTACA